CTTTCTTAACAGAGGTTATTTTACATGATTAAAACAAACAGAAAATAATAGACTCGTTTTTAAATAAGAATGAATGAATAACAAGTGTGTGCTTTTTTAATTGCAGCCTCGTTATGTAGTCTCCTGCGGCTAAATTATTTTTAAATCTCTCTGAAAGAACTTTTCTTTTATATTTATTAAACAATAACAGAAAAAACTTATTTAAAACATCCATATATATATATATATATATTTTAATTTTAATATATATATATATATATATATATATATATATATATATATATATATATATATATATGTGTGTGTGTGTGTGTGTGTGGGTGGGTATAACTTTATATTTGCGAGGTTGAGACAAAAATCCATGCCCACTCACTCATATTGGAGGAAATCCTCCCTGATTGACGATTTCGTCAGAGATGTAGCCGTACTCAACACATTTGACCAACTGCGGGTTGGTGAGACTAGTTAATCCATTGTTCAGGTGGATGCCCATTGATTCTGAGGAGGTCATTCACCTTTCAACAGCTCTTGAATTTTGAGCTTCTGGTGTTCCATCAGTGTAGAGTAAAGAGCCGGTTGTTTGTTTTATTTAATAAGTGTTATGGTCCGGTTGCTTGTACCACGGTGATAATCCAAGGTAGAACCAATAAAGAAGAACTCGAACACAGGTATGAAATAACAAAGATATATTACAAACAGGAATATATACAGAGAAGTAGAAGTGTTAGTATGAACAATCAGGTTTAGTAGAGAGAACAATGTAGTCTCAACCAGTATCACTATTTCAATGTCTTGCAGTAATTGTCTGAACGCGACTCTCTTTCGGACTGCCTCTGACTCGACTCTTGACTCGGCTTGAACTACTGACTGAATCGAACTACTGACTCCTTGTCTACTCCTGAGGCGCAGTATTTATTAAGTATGGAATATTCCATTATTATTATTATTATGGGTAAGATCCCATAACAATAAGAAATGAGGAACACAATAAAAAATATCGTATATCAAGATCATCACTCGTTCACATCCCAACTTCACAACACAGTCACCACCTCTTTCAATGGAGGTATTCTACCTACGAATGATGGGATGTATCCGGGCTTCGTAAAACTCAGCTCTCCCTTAAAATTTTACTTAGTAATGTGGCCAATTCCTTACAGCAGTTTGAACTAGTTCATCCCCGCCATAATGTTTGGCTATCAGCATCGATTTCATTGGACCAGAGAGATGGAAGCCTGATAGTGCTAAGTCAGGTGAATATGTTGAGAAGTAGGGATGTGAACCTATGATGTATAGCTATATTTTGACATACGGTATGTTTGATTATGTTCATTATTTTGATATTATATAATAAAACAAATTTCATAATCTTTTGACTTACCCTCGTGTATATATATATATATATATATATATATATATATATATATATATATATCCGGCATTATTTCTTATTTATATAATCATTATTTTTTATTCTACACTTGTTGAAATTGATATTTTTTTTCTTTTTTTTTTTTTTAAAAAGCTGTAACATTATCTAGGCCGGTTGATATTAATTTTACTGTTTAAGAAGATAAAATACGGATGTCAACTCAAGCAAATGTACCCTATAAAATAATAATTATAGCAATATATATATATATATATATATATATATATATATATATATATATATAGTATATATGATTGGTATATATGGAATGAATTCCAATAACCAACAAATACTATTCTTAAAAGAGTGCTCAATACAAAGTAGAGCAGATATAATTATTTATTTTTAAAAAAATTATAACATAAATATGTTATAAAATCACTACAAAAATAGCCACTTTGTTTCAACACCCTCGGTGTCTTATCAAGTGATGATGTTGAATGTAAAATAAATGGTTTTAAAAGTTTCGAATTAATTAACAATGTGAAACAAAATGGCTATTTTTGTAGTGATTTTATAACATATTTATGTTATAAATTTTTTAAAAATAAATAATTATATATATATATATATATATATATAATATGATTTGTTATTCAAAATGGTAAATGCACAAATGCAATTGATGAAGTTGGCATAGTAACAGATCTTTTGAAAGATATGGTAGATTTGCATAATTATTTACGGAGTTCATGCGAAAAAGAAAACTTCAGTGAAGGAACAGAAATCTTACTTTATAAAGAAAAGTACTGCAAGAGGTCACAAGTATTGGTTCCTAGTGAAGATCGAATTCAATTCAGTCATAAAGGACTGCGGGTCTTATATGATTCGTATTTATTATGGTTTCCTGCCTACGGCCCAAAGCCAGTAATATTGGATTCCCGTGAAAATCAAACGATTCGTGAAGGTCTGCGAGTGTTATATTATTTGATATTGATTAATGTTGACTACGTATGGCAGAGACGCAGATGTGTTGGACTCGCATTTAAGATCTCAGTGGTAACGCTATGGGACAGCACATGATCAGGTATGTGGTAATAATGATATAGATCGCTGTTCAGAAACTTAGCTTTTAGTTAAATTCAAACACTGGCCACTATGAGCGTTGGTAAATATGCAGATCCCTAACCTAGCAGAGGTAGAAATACGTCCTTTTCACTCCACGTGGAACGTAGGGCCACAGTATCAGCATGCTAATAATGTTGCTATGGCTTTCGTAGCAAGTGGGCTTTTTATAGAGTGGCAATGTCAAACAGATTCCCAAGTGTTTGTATCCATTTCTGAGAAGAGATATTGTAACTATTTACACTATTTACATCGTTCGGACTGTTGTCCTCATCTTTATTGCTATATTCATGACGATTCCAAGGACATATGGTCCAGTGGATAAAAGCGTTAGTTGAGTAATCAAAAGAGTGTCTTGACCCAAAATGTTGAGAGTTCAATACCTGACCACAATAGAGGGAACAAAAACATGAGAGAAAGTTGAGTTACTAAAGAGATTTAACTGAAAATTAGTTGTCAAAAAAGGTATGGCACGTGGAATTAGAACAATCTACCTCATTGAACTAAATAAAGGTTTCGAAGCCGAAACTTCGACGTATATCACCTGAAGAAGGCCGGAGCGTACAACGCCAGAAACATAGTGAATATGACAATAAAGATGAGGATACCAGTCCGAACAATGTACATATGTAAACATTCCCAAATAATTTTGAATGAAGAATTATCCTTCTTCTGGATTGGTTGCCAGTGAAGGTTAAAGAGCTAAGTTTGTTCTGCTATTTAAGAAATAAATAAAATGTATGATATGCCGTTTCCAAGGTTTTTGTGTGAGAAATTGAACGCAATGTGCTCTGCCGGAAATAGAACTCGCTATGCCGATAACCACTACGCTATGTGCACATCCGCAATATGTCAAGTAAACCGCCTTTAATATTTCATTTTTTATTCTCCTTTTCCGTTGTCTTCTTCTAGAACCTTGGCCAGGACGTCTACGATAAGTCTGAACAGGTGTATGTAACCACTCATAACTGAATTGTTTAGGGGTATATGCATTATAATGAGGTATGTAACATGGCCTATACATGCAAAATGAGGTTCAAATCTGTATAGAGGTTTAACGAGTAAAGCACCTGTAAGTCAGCCAAGTGTTCCTGAAACTAGTGTCATGTCACCAGTCGATGATGGGGTTGGACGGGGGGCGATTAAGTTATTTCACTGGGACGAAACATCAGCACTGGGAAAAATAAAGAACAAAAAGTGGTACAAAATGTCTACAACAAAATCTGTTAATTTATGTTGGCATTTTTTAGATTAGGAATTATCATTATTATATGCCTTATTATTGGGACAACGATCAAGGAGGATCTGGCGCTACTTTCCGGCCCGCAAGTGGTCGGCCTCCGCCGCTGGAACCGCGACTGGCTTACCATCTCGTGCGACCTCGCGACAGACCGACGAGCGTGGGCAGCAATGGTCCGTGATGCGGTGCGTCAACAGGAAGAAGCCGGCTCAATCCGCCCAGGGTGAATGCCGCATCAAGTACAAGTACAAGTAAGTTATTATTGGGACCAGCTTGCTGATATTGGTTGATCTTGGTTGTTTTATTCAAACTGTCTTTTATCTCCCATCATTCTTAGATTATTATTTTTTTAAAAAAATACCCCACTTAACCTTTCTTTCTCCAATTTTCGTGGCGTCCACTCCATTTTTGCATTGAAGAATCTATTCTCTTGGAACGGTCACTGTATATCTTTGCATTTTGCAAAACCAACTTAAATGCTCTCATTGATAGTAATGATTTTTTCCAGGCTATCTTTCAACTGTTAAAAATATTCCAGCATTCACATGCATGGCATTGGTGTATCTAGGATAGTCTTCGAATGGCAAGGGAAATTCCACTCGACCACTATCTAAAGTCTCCTGATTACTCTTCATTTGTTTTTGCTCCTTGGTAAGGTTTCTGTTTTCTAATTCTTCAACGCCCAGTAATCCTTTGTGGCTTTATTGCCTTGCTTGGGGTGAACTCGATTTTTTAAAAAATGTCATCCAGCTGAGTCCATTTCTATTAGAAGGATGCTGAAATAATCCTGTTTATTGCTATCACTTTTTGCGTTTCACTTCAGGAGGAGGAAGATTATTGTCTTACTTTCGTTAATTTTTTTTTCTAAAAGTCGTCATGAGTTTCATTAAATCGACAAGAACGTATTTTGGTGGGAATATGTTATGAAGAAGAGCCAATCACGAGAAAGCTAAAGAAATGGAAGAGAGTTTTTTAAAACATGAAAACGTAAAATATCATGAAAAAGAAAATCAAAGCCAGAAGAGAAAAAGGGAACGTGAAAAAGAAACAAAAAAAAAGAAAGACGGAAAACACTAAGAAATAACTATGTTTCTAAAATTTATAAAAAATCAAAAAAGAGAAAAATTACAAAAGAAAAAATAGAAGAAACGAAAAAAAGAAAAAATTGAAGGAACGAAAGAAAGAACAAGATAAAGTAAGGAAAGAAAGGAAGGAAAAATGAAAGAAAACGAAAGAAAAAAAATGAAACGAAAGAAAGAAGAATCAAAGAAATGAAGGCGAGGAAGAAAAAAAGAAATGAAAGATAGAAAGAAAAAAAATAAAAATAAAAGAAACGAAGGCGAGAAAGAAAAAAGAAATGAAAGAAAGAAAGAAAAAATAAAAGAAATGAAAGAAAGAAAGAAAAATAAAAAAACGAAGCCGAGAAAAAAAATGAAAGGAAGAAAAAAGAAAAAAATAAATGAAAGAAAGAAAGAAAAAATAAAAGTAACGAAAGAAAAAATAAAACAAACGAACAAAAGAAAAAATAAAGGAAACGAAGGAAAGAAAGAAAAAAGAAATTAAAGAAAATAAAATAAAAGAAAGAAAAAATGAAAGAAATGAAAGAAAAAATATAAAAGAAACGAAAGAAAGAAAAATAAAAGACACGAAAAATAAAAGAAACGAAAAGAAGAAAAAATAAATGAAACGAAGGAAAGAAAAAATAAAAGAAACGAAGGCGAGAAAGAAAAAAAGAAATGAAAGGAAGAAAGAAAAAAAAAATGAAAGAAAGAAAGAAAAAATAAAAGAAACGAAAGAAAGAAAGAAAAATAAAAGAAACGAAGGCGAGAAAGAAAAAAGAAATGAAAGGAAGAAAGAAAGAAAAAAGAAAAGAAACGAAAGAAAGAAAGAAAGAAAAATAAAAGAAACGAAGGCGAGAAAAAAAAAAGAAATGAAAGGAAGAAAGAAAGAAAAAAGAAAAAAATAAAGAAACGAAAGAAAGAAAGAAAAATAAAAGAAACGAAGGCGAGAAAAAAAAAAGAAATGAAAGGAAGAAAGAAAGAAAGAAAGAAAAAATAAAAGAAACGAAAGAAAGAAAGAAAAATAAAAGAAACGAAGGCGAGAAAGAAAAAAGAAATGAAAGGAAGAAAGAAAGAAAGAAAGAAAAAATAAAAGAAACGAAAGAAAGAAAGAAAGAAAGAAAAATAAAAGAAACGAAGGCGAGAAAGAAAAAAATGAAAGGGAGAAAAAAGAAAAAAAGAAATGAAAGAAAGAAAGAAAAAATAAAAGTAACGAAAGAAAAAATAAAACAAACGAACAAAAGAAAAAATAAAGGAAACGAAGGAAGGAAAGAAAAAAAGAAAAGAAATGAAAGAAAAAGAAAAGAAAGAAAAGAAAAAATGAAGGAAACGAAAGAAAAAAAAATAAAAGAAACGAAAGAAAGAAAAAAAATAAAAGACACGAAAAATAAAAGAAACGAAAGAAAGAAATAAAGATACTTAGGAAGAAAGAACTATACATGAAAAATAGAAATTCCCTGTATAATTTATTTTAAAAGTTCAAATAGAAAGAGAGAACAAATACAAAAAGGAAGAGAAAGAGCAGAAAGAAGAAGACGAAGAAGAAATATTCAATGAAAGAAGCTCAAAATATAAATAAATAAATACATAAGACAGAAAAAAAAATAAATATCAGAATTAAAGACGACAAAATAAAAGCGGCAAAATTAATGAAAAAAAAGAAGACAAGAAAAAAATTGCGACGAACCAAAAGGCAATAAACGCAAGGAAAAATTAAATGAGAGGTTAAAAAAACAAATCATATAATTCATGTAAAAATGAAAATAAAGTATAAAAAAATGAGGAAGGAATAATGAAAAGAAAACATAAATGAAAAATAAAAAAGAATGATAGAAAAAAAAAGACAGAATTAAAAAGGAGAACTAAAAGAGAAAGCGAGAAATAATTCTTAACAAAAATCAAAATTAAAAAGAGAAAAAATTTGGAAAAACAGAAAGAGGCGACTAGAAGAAGAACAAAAAGGAAAACTGATAAAAAGGGGAATACAGGGTGAATGAATGAATTAATGTGGGTTAGCCCACTTCGCCCCGACGAAAGCTTTCGTTAGGTTAAGTCAAACCATATTCTCTCTCTTTCTCTTTTTAACTCTTGCCTCAAGGTGTAGATGAACACTGCCGACGAGGCACATTCACTTCCTTGGTCCTCTGTTGACATTTGAACTCTCACACACACGCACATACACACAAGTATTGGGCACCTCGACGTGATGTACTGATTAGCAAATTTGTCTAGCTAGAAACATTACTACTGAGTATTGAGTTATATCTTCGTTCAGTGCTCCATACTCTCGGCCTTGTGCCACATTTAATCTGCGTTTAGAAAATCATCATAAACACACGTATCTATCACGCACGTTTATTTCACAAACACACACAAACAAGCAAGCACATTCTCATAGCTAGTTTTAATGTCTTTTTTTCTTTTATTTCCATTGTGTACACATGCAGTTACTTTTGTTAATACATGCGTATAACTGCCGTTTGTTTTACATACTTAGTTTTCCATCTTATTTTTATCCAAACTCATATGAGTCCGCCAATGTCGTTTGTGGTCTATACACATCACAATCAAAGTGGTAAGTATTTGTACACAAACGTCATAGATGCCCGCAAAAGAAATAAAGAAAAAGAAAAAATAACTGACATGAAACGAAAAAGGGGGCAGAAATTAAAATGCAAAAAAGCAAGGACGAAAATTCGAATAAATAAGGAAACGGATAATAATACAAATGTATGTAAAATAAATAAAAAATAAAAATGTAAAAATGAACATGGGCAAATTAATTAAGAAACTGAGAGGGCCTGTCACGTGACATGTCGGATCAAAAAGATGACGTAACAAATATACAAAGAGGATCGAAAGTTAGAGGAAGAGAGAGAGGGGAGGAGAGGGGAGAGAGAAATGGGAGAGAGAGAGAGAGATCAAATGAAAAAATACGACGAGTAAAATCTAGACAATAAATAACCAAATAATTCACCAAAATTTTAATACTACTTTGTAAGTGCTTGGATAATTTTTTTTTATAAACCAAGCATATACCAATCCTGGTGACGGATAAACGATATACTTCCGGTCTTAGGAACGGAAGTACTGTGAGCATTCTATTTCCGCCTGACTTCCCTGTAATCAGATGGCAAACCAATAAATTTCAGCAGGTTACATGGCGAGGACAATGATATGTGATGGAATTGAATAGATGGAATAAAAATGTCCCTGTTTCCCACGTCTTTATATCATTGGTCAAACACGCGACGCCATGTTTAAAAATAAGAACGACACACAGACACAAACACATGATAGTGTGTGTGAGGTGTGAGTTGTGGGTGGGTGTGGATGCGCGCTCTTTATTTATGCCAATCGATTGACCTATCAGTTACTCCGTCGACCTTTTTCTGTTTTTGTATTATGTAAAGGTTTCCTTTTTATAGCACCATCGAAGCATTGAATCCGCATATATATATATATATATATATATATATATATATATATATATATATATATATAGAGAGAGAGAGAGAGAGAGAGATAATATTAGTGGTAAATATATGCAAAATATGCAATATGCAAAATATATAAATATATATACATACATGCATACACATACATATATATTTTTTGAATAAAAAAAATCCAAGAGGATAGAATCCAGGTAGAACTCAATATTCAGGACAGAAGTAAGGATATAATAAAAAAAAGCAAACACTAATATTCCATGGTCATAATTTATTCCATTGGAATCGTAAATATGATCCAATAGGTCTGATGAATTGGATCGTATTTACGATTCCAAAGGAATAAATTATGACCATGGAATATTAGTGTCTAAGCCTTTTTATTATATATATATATATATATATATATATATATATGATAAGCAAATATAAATGGATATAAATCCGACAGAATGAAGAAAATATCTGGAAAAACAAACAAAAATTCTTAGAATGTGATTATGTTGTTTTAATTATGAATGAAATGTCGACGTCTGACGTTTCGGTTTAATAACCTTCTTCAGGACAATATTCATCTGATTATGTTAATTGTATTGTATTTTTAATGAATATTGTCCTGAAGAAGGTTATTAAACCGAAACGTCAGACGTCGACATTTCATTCATAATTAAAAACAACATAATCATTCTAAGGATTTTTGTTTGTTTTTCCAGATATTTTCTTCATATATATATATATATATATATATATATATTGTGTATATAGGTAGCAGTACTTCTTTTATACTTGTTTCATTAAAGATGTCAGACAAGATAATGCGGTTAAGCTTTTTGTCTAATGTTCCTTGTGTTCGAACAAGTATATTCTTTTCTGGGCACAGACTATATAAAAAAAACTGTCTAAATGTTCAGAAATTCTAAGCACTTCCAGTTATGCTTTTAACCATTATCAAGGATAAATTTATTTTTACTTTTTAACGGGGTGTATGGGTTGTGTGTATGCACCTAGAGTTATAGGGATGTTTTATTTTCTGGACACAGCACATTGAAGCCGTGTTCGTAGTGAATATTCGGGTGGGGTCTGGTAGGTTTACGTGTGTGTGTGTTTATAGGAGTTAAAATGGAGCTGTGGTCAGACAGGTCTAACGTAAGGCGTCTGAATAGGTTCCTGATCAAAGCAAACTCATAAATAATTACATCGCTCACACTACTACATGCCTCTCTTCATATATATATATATATATATATATATATATATGTATGTGTGTGTGTGTGTGTGTGAAAAGTGTATATAAATATAAATAAATATATATATGTATAATTATTAATATATTATATGCGTGGTACTTATTAGAGAGCGCTCAATATCAGAGATAGAGCTAACATATTTGGTTGGATAGATGTGAGTTTGTGACCCTGGGTTTCACGCTTTAGCGATCGTCAGACGATCGCTAAAGCGTAAAACCCAGGGTCACAAACTCACATCTATCCAACCAAATATATATATATATATATATATATATATATATATATATATATATATATATATATATATATATATATATATAATGAAATGCATAAAATCCGACAATTAGTTAGCACATTTTTTTATGTTTATACATTCTTTTTATACATACAAATATTTAAGTAAATGCTCAAGTAAATCGGTAAAGGCACGTCAGGCTATATGACGGTTCTGTATAGAATACAGGTTCGATTCCTGTCGGAGGACGAATATTTTCTATGAAAATTTCTCGGACATACAAGCCGGTAAATGTTGTTAATACTGTTTATTATAAACAGAGCATTTACTTAAATATTTGTATCTATAAAAAGAACGTATAAACATAAAAAAATGTCTGATATATATTCTAAGACATTTTATGCTTCTCCATTCTTTTTATAGATACAAATATTTAAGTAAGTGCTCTGTTTATAATAAACAGTATTAAACAACATTTACCGGCTTGTATGTCCGAGAAATTTTCACAGAAATATTCGTCCTCCGATAGGATTCGAACCTATATCCTATATGGAAGCGTCATTTAGCTTGACATGCCTTTACCGTTTTGGCCACATAATTTAAGGTAATTAAACTTCAAATATATATATATATATATATATGCGAGGTCAGATCAAAAAGTATAGGAATTATTGTTGTGCAAACGGAGATAAAGTACGCAAAGTTAAGCCGCTTGTCACAAATTGACCTTGAACAATGTCGTGCATACAGACTAATAATCTTCTCGCTCACTCCGACTGTTTATAGCAGTGCTTTGAAGGAAAGTGTGTAGAGTGCGGTCGTCTCACCATGCCACAGATGTTACATCGGTTTTAATGCAGTTTTTGGTTAAGTACTACATTTCCCATGTCCAACAACTACCATATTTCCAAGACCTTGCTCCTTACGACTTTTTCTTCTTCCAAAATCAAATCCTACTTGAAAGGAATAAGATTTCAAGACGTTGAAAAAATCGAAGAAATGGGGGCAGCTGCTCAATATCCTCCCAAGGTGTTCCAAAAATGGTTCCATCACTGGAAAGTACTCTAGATAAGTGTGTGGCTTCAGAAAGGAACTACTTCGAAGGAAGTTAAATGTGGAATTGATATGTTTCGTAGTTTTCTTTTTATGACGTCAGTCTCGATATTTTTTGATCAGACCTTTTATATATAGGTTTACGTTGAAACACTGGGTCTCATACGATCACCGAAATTAAGCAACGTCGAGTCTTGTCACTACTTAGATGGGTGGCCTCTTGAGGTGCTGTAGGTTATGGATGTGTGGGTGGTGTAATGGATAATGGTTCAGAATTGGAAATCGTAGAGCTAAGTTCCAATTGGTCGGGTTCATAATATTCACTTCCGAGGAAATACATTTCAGAAAGGAATGAACCTAATTCTTTTTCTTACCCAAATATTTGTATCACTAAATCATTATTGCCCACCCCATACACAACTTATTTTAATCTAAACTTTTGGGGCTTTAAAAAGCCTGCAAAGGTTGATAGGTCGTAAAAAAACGAACCAATCAATTGTATATTTCCTAAACCTAATAATAGTAGCATCCCATTTAGCGAAATAAACGAATTACGTCAAATTTGGCATAAAATCCTGAAAAATGAGAAAATCGTTGAAACCTCCTGACGAGTGGATCGACTAATTACCAAATTCCCGATTTGAAATATATCATTATAATATCTATCAGCTAAGGTATAAATTATATATGTATTAATCCAATATATATATATATGTGTGTGTGTGTGTGTGTGTGTGTGTGTGTTTGTGTTTGTGTGTGTGTATATATATATATATATATAAATGAAATAATATTCAATCTATTTCACAATTATTTTTGTTTTACTCTCTCCAGTTACTGAAAATAATCATTTTGCTTGTCGTTTGTTTTTGGAGCCGCCATTTTGGAAACTATGAAAAAGCCAAAAGGAATGTGGACGAAATTCTTACATTTTGATATTTTGTACATTTCCTGCCCACTGCTTCAGAGATAAAATTTCCATTAATGTTTCTATTTTTTTTTTTTTTTCACATTCTTTTAAATTTTTTGTAAGTAAACCGAAAATTCGTTTTAAACAAGACGTGAATTTCTTTCTTTCTATTTTCATATTCTATTTTTCCCTTGATTTTTCCTTGACGTCATCAGTGTCAAAAACAAAATCGACATTAGCTTTTTTGTCCCTATATATTTTATTTTCTATCGTTTTCTTTTACTGAATTTATTCACAAAAGCTATTTATTTACCATTTGTTCATTTTTAACTTTTTCTTGTCGCTTGTTTCAATTTAGATTTTTTCTTTCTTTCTTTCTTTCTTTCTTTCTTTATTTCTTTCTTTCTTTCTTTCTTTCTTTCTAGATATATCCGAAAACTAAAAGTAAAAGATAAACTTTCATTCATTTTCGATAAGGACCATATTTATTTATTCATGTTGAAATGGGCCTATTCTTTTTTTTTTAATGAAAATCCTTCGGCATTCACTTAATGGTTTTATTTTCCTGTCTCTTTTGCTTTGACTCATATCATGAAAATTTTGGGGTTTTTTTCTTCTATTAAATAGAATTTAAAAGAAATTGAACAATTTGTCACGATCGTTTTTGTCTTTCTGACATAACGCACCTATACGCATGCCCACCTCAATTGTTTCCCTTCTCTCCCGTTATCAATACGCCACTCTTCTT